TGTGTTTAATCTTTATTTGAATTTTTATTTTCAAAATTTAATATTTATTTCTATTGTGCATAGAGCCTATAGCATCTAATAATAATAATATTTTTAAATAGGACTGATGCATATAAAAACTTTTAATAATCTCAGACTAATCTCTTCCCTAATATCAATTGCTGCAAAAAAAGCAGCTATAAAAAGAAAGTTACAAAGTGAAGAATAGAAAGGAAAGGTAATTAGTTTGAATATCAATACATATCGATTTCAAGCTTAAAGTTACAAATCTTGAATCTAGCAACAAATCTAAGTTTTTTGATATTTGTATAATACAAATAAACAATTACAATTAAATATTTGAATATTTTCTTATTTATATTATATAAATTTCTATTTACCTTCGTTATGACCTGCTGCTGCAGCCAGAGTTACAGCCATTGGTGTAATGTCATCTTCTAAACCAGCTAACTGATCTTGCTCCCTTGCTAGAAATTCTGCTGCTGGATCTACATCAGGTTCATTGACAAAATTGTCACCAAATGCATCCATTATCTAAAAAGAAATTGAAAAAATATATTGATGTACATACATCTGTAAAAAATAAAGTATACTCTCAAAATTATTTTGTCTATATTAAGATGGAATAAAATAATAAACATTGTGTGAATAATATAAAAGTAATATATAATATACTAAATTGTCTTGAAAAATGAAATTAAATGTCAGTAACATTTTGAGCAATATCTATTAAGGTTAATCAAATCTTTCGCTAATCGAAATACTAAGTTTAATATTTATTTATTACACGACAAATTTTTTTACTTGTGTGTACTTGCACGGCGTAAAAATATAATCCACGTATAAAAGAAACTATGAAATATACGTTCTTATCCAAGAGAAACACCTCCAACAATTGCACCTTTAATCAGAGAAGAGCATGAGAGCGACCATTCCGGCCTTTTTCGTGACACCGTTGAAAATCGCAAGTACGCAAGCGCTACCAATGTCTATGACCAGGGAGTCGATCATGTAACTTTTCCCCTAGGACGGAAAACGTGAAAAGTGAAAAGTTTCACATGAACTTACGATCATGTATGATTTTGTAGGATCATGTAACTCTCTCAAACATGAAAATGTGAAATTTTTCACGTGAACTTTTTCGCCATGTACCTTGATGGCGGAAAGACAGAAATCTAGAGAATTGATAAATATGGATATTCAGAATTAGAGAAGATTAGAGAAGAAGGGCTGCGTTAGTGTCGGTCCACAATAAGTATTTAATCTTTAAGTCGTAAGAAATTGACCAATTATAGTCGATTATTCTTTTCATATTCGATTATAATTGGTCAATTTCTTACTTCTTAAAGCTTAAATCACCTATTGTGGACCGACACTTAAGATTAAGTGTACGTAGTATACAATACATATTAAAAGATGTATAAAATACTGTACCAATAAAATAATTTTCATTAGCTATAAAACCTATGAAACTCTGTTTCATGATTTCACTTTCCATGCTACATACATAATTGCTGTACGTAAAAAGTTTCACGTAAAGTTACATGATTGACCCCCTGGGCATCGATCATGTAAGTTTTCCCTTAGAACAAATCAGTAAGAAATGACAATCTCTGTGGATTTCATCATTTTGTGAGAATGCGTCGCCATGGACAAAAAAATAGCGGAACGAAGAACGGAGAATAGTCAATACAGTACATACAGTAGCGCAACTCTCTGTCGGCACCTTTGATGTAGTATGTATGAAGTTGAATTGCACATGCGCGAGCTAAGTAGGTAACCAATCCTAGATCTGCGATGCTGTACTAGACTGCACTAAAATGTTCTATCTCGCTTTCATCAAGTTTTAAATATATATCTATTTTATTTAAATATATATCTATTTTAAGTACATTAATGTATATACACTACTTCCTCTTTTTCTAACTTATTATTTATATGTTAGCATCATATTTAAGATATAAATTAAATAAAAATAATATAAATATGATATAAATACATAGCTAATAATGAAAAATACTCTATAGACAATATAAAATATAAATATCAAATATCAAATATAAAAGTCAAAAAATAATTTAAAAAATATACATAAAAATATATAAATATTGATTAATAAAAAGGAAAACTATATTATATTATTAACTTTGTATAAAAAAATTGCATAAAATATAAAAAAAATATTCAACATAAGGAAATAATATATAAAATAAAAGTATGTATTTAATTAATATTATTACTTTAAAATAAAAACAAAT